GGAGAAAGTATGGAGCACCGCGCGCTTGCTTCACTAAGTCTCTCCCCAGCTCTCCTCTGCCCCGAAAGGGTTTACGACAGTCCAAAATGCTCAAATAACAAATTTTCAAGCCGTCGAAATGAGGTTTCGGTGACACGTGAGTGGGACACATGGTCTAAATTGGCCTGGTGAAAGAAACTGTTTAGCAGCCAGACTTTAGGTGCCAAGCGACACCAGCGGTGCCAGTTGGCGCGCACAGACTCCGACACCATTGTACGAGAACGCAAAATGGCAACCTCTCCTTTGCGTATATATTCCCTGGCTGATCTGTCTGATAACCATCGACCAAAAAGGCAAATGTCAGCAATCGCCACGCCTTGGCGGCAAAGTTCACTAGCCCCTGATCTTCTGAATGAATGGGTGGTCAGTTTGATCTCTTCTCCAGCCAGCAAAAGGGCCAGTTTCTTGACCCAGCGCAAAACAGAAGAGTATGACATATCAAACACTTTGGTATCTGTGGCACAAGCCCCGTGCTGTGCCCCAAAGCGACCCAACCATTCAAACACTGTGCCATTGCTAATAACGACTTTTTGTTCCATGCCGCCTTTGGTTTGCCCCAAACAAAGTGTGACATTGCCGGCAGCAAAGAAAATGTCAGACCATCGCAATTGCAGTGCCTCCCCAACCCGTAACAAGCCTGAGAAACAAACGCAAATGAGAATGCCCAACGGAGCGCGGTTGAGTGCAAATGCAGCCACCATCATCGCTGTAAGCAGTTCTGGGGGGGCTGCCGGTGCCTGCTGTGGTGGTTGCAAGCTACCCCACACTTCAAACACACGCCAAGCAGTTTTGTACCGGACACGAGGATTCATTCTGCCCAAAGCAGACAGAACATAGCCATATTCGGTGCGCCCACTGCCTTGTTCATAACCATCAACTAGCCACTCAGCTAAAAACAAATCCTGCTCTGCCTCAGTAAGAGAGGCCCAATCGGTTTGCGTCTGCAAGATCTCACGATTGAGGAGCTGAATTGCTTGTTGGTATTTTTCTCTGGTGGCATCGCGCAATGACTTCAGCAAGAAAGCTTCGACTCGGTGCCGGCCAAGTCCAAGCCGTGCGCTGCTGGCTAAACCAAGGATCCCTGCCAAAAGAATCAGAATGAACCTGCATGGGTGCATATGGTTGTTCATACCCGTGACTCTTCGAAGCAAGAATACGTGTAACAAACAAGCTGGCCAGCGCTTGGCTCAGTCCGGAGGGATATGCTGTAGCCGCTGTGGTTCTAAAACATTGCCCCGCCGAATCCCAACCAAACAGTTGTGTGTGACCTTGGGTGTGATTACACGTGCGTACAAACTCATCATTCCCATAAGGCAACACTAAACCAGTCGGCTTCCTTGTTTTTGCTCCAAACATGCATTGATCAATGACATAAATGCAAAGACGAACAATGCTGCACAGCTGTTGGATTTCTGTTGAGCAAAAAATTGATGGGTATGGTTCGCAACCACGATCAGCCGGATGCTCGCCTCCAACCCATGCCCCAAAAATTCTAGCCTCTCCCAACATACCGATGCAAATGAGTGCTAACGCCGTGCCAATGTCGACTGAGTGGTTTTCTCTTGAAGTCCGATTCGGAAGACAAGACCAAGGGTTCGATCGGGCCCTCAGGGGCCGTGGCCCGACTTGTGCACCTGACTGTCTATGCAAAGGTTTGTGCCGCACTGCTGAAAAAGTAGAGCAAGGCGGTGAAACAAAGAGGCCTGCAACACGTCCTGACTGTACTAGCTGTAAAATGTGTAACATGCTATGCCCATCTAGTAAGTCATTGCAAGTGAATCCAAGATCACGTTGACTCATAGGAGACAATGGATCAACGCGCAACCCGTAGATGTGCAGGCCGTGTTCCTGACTAAGGCGCTCAACCCAGCTCACCAGGTCATCATCTCGTCGCGTTCCTGAACACAAATGCAAAAAGAAACGCTCGTTGCCCGACCATGATGGTAATGTCCGGGAGAGTCCAAAAGGGTCAAGGAAAACTTCTTCAAACGCCTCGGGTTGAACTGGCGACTCTGAGTGGCCCTTGCGCTCGCCTTCGAAGAGACGAGAGGGCTTGTCAGCCGGATTGTCACCTGACGGAATCCAAGGATAAAAAGTCTCATGGCCCCCTGCTATTCCGATTGCGCACAGCTTCTGACACCGATGGTTCAAAAGCCGACTGGAAGACCGCCCCTTCATAAAAGCCCCAACACAAGAAGCACTATCAAGTGGATGTACAAAACGATGTTCATCATCACACGCACGCCTCAGCCTGCATTCTGCCACCCACACTGCCGCGTCAGCTTCTCCCAAAAAAATGTATAATGGCCTCCAGCGTGCACCCGCCGTGTGCCAATGGAAGAGGTTGCGGGGCAGTTTCAACTTACGTAGTGGACACTTGTCTTCTTCGTTCAAGGCTAACCCAAAGGGGAGATTCAAATTCGTGTATGTCCCTGGGTGGTCACAGAGCTGAGCCATTCGCTGCACTAGATCGCTTGGCATGGTGGCCCATGCTCGCCCGATGCCTGACATTGAGGCATCACTGCATTCAACTCTCTGGCTAAACGGCGCTGACAAGTTGAACTGCGCATAGGGCAACAACAATGCGGCTGTCATCAACTCACACCAAATGACATCCGGCAAGGTTGTGACACGCACCTTGCGACCCCGTAGATCATCAAGCCAGCCATAAACCTCCACAAAGATTGAACGCATCACCGGTCGGCTCGAGTGCACGAACCCAAACTTTCCAACCAGTCGTTCAATGTCGCCAACAACGACCGATGGTGAAGTCAGCACATGCCAAACTGCTTGGAAAAGAGCCCTACGTTTCGTCAAACTAACCCCAACCCAATGCAAATCTGGATCAACATAGTAACCCTGTAACTCTTCCCCTGGACTCGCATCAATTGCCTTCTTATGGTTTGGGTGTACTCCACGATCTACCCAAGCCTGCTCCGCCCGCGAGAGCCAAGTAGGTCCGCAAAAGGCCGCCTTCGTCTCCGCCTCAGTATGCTCAAGCGCCCAAATATCATCGCATATGGATCCCCAAATAGGCAATGACGTGGGTGCAAACGCATCTGGATGTAGTCTACAGTCACTAGGTAGGTCAGCCTGGTTAGTTGCGACGTCTGTCAATGCCTGTGCCCAACCTGCGCTAGGACCAAACCCCATAGGTGCTGTGCATGAAGCCGGATACCTCAGACCCCTGCCGAAGTCCGCTATAGGTGGCCCACATAGCCATCGTTGCCACTTGCGCCCAATCCTCAACGAGTGAAAATAGTGGCGAGCGTCTCTCTTCGACACCAGCAGCCTCCCTGTGCGAGGTACCAGGGTTACCCGCAGCTTCGGGATATAGGCAAAACGGGGCCGGGGAAGCTTCTGTGGGTCCAACAGCTGATTCACACTAGGATCAGTAATTACCCTGTCCTCTGTCTCGTCCTTAGGCACGGCAAATGCTCCAGCTAGGCATAGGCTACCTCTGTGCTTAGCTACCTGTTTCTCCTTCTTCAAGACATGCAATCCAGCTTTAACATTCTTACGGACTAAATCAGGATAAGAAGAATTCACCCAAGTGTGCCCGCGCTTGATCCGGATAGGCCTCAGCCTCGATGGAAGAAGAAGCAGCTTCGGCTCCCGGACCTGTTCAGCATATAGCGGAAAGTCCTTTTCAAGCTCCTCAGATAAATTGACTGTTGCAGCCGAGGTTGGCACTCCCCCCCCGACTACCTAGTGGAATGGCTATTCCCCCTCCAGTATAGTGCTGGTTGTGCTTCAAAAACTGACGAATCTCATCAAGACTCATGAGCTCAAAATCCATCATCATGTCTTTGAGCCCTGACCCCAACCGGGCCTGGATGCGTGAGTGGGCAGCTGAGACAAACTTGAATTCAACGTCCAAGCTCCCATGCAGCATATTCAAGGCGGCCTGAATGAGATTCACGCCATGAGCAACACCGAACTCTTCATCCGAATCCAGGGTGCCCATTCTGTACTCCATCACCCGACCATTCTGAACAAAAGGGGGCAAAGGAAAGACATGCGGCATACTGCATCCATCACCTGACTGTGTCAGAAAAACTCTATTGAATTCGTGTCTCCTCCGAAGCTGTCCCTGGCCCTTGCCAATCCTCCACAAATGAACCCCATAGCTCAACAATGTGTTGTGATGCGCAAAGACCTGCTCCAACCCAGAAAAGATCATGCAAAAATACTGCAACCCCGAAGATGGCTCACCATTGTGACTTCTCCAGCGGTGCAGCGCTTTCCTGAACCGGCGACTCAATTGGTGAGAGCCAGCATCGACGATGAGGCCAGGCTGGTTCCACTGGGAATCAGTTCGATCGATTCGGCTTTTTCCCAAGACCCTCCTTTCCTCTTCGCCTGCTGGATTGCCAGGATGCGCTGTGCAAGGATGTCCATTGCTCTGGCAATTTCCTTTCGATTGACTGCATCCATGGCCTCGGCTAGGGTCAAGACCTCCCTCACATCTCTCACTTCTGTCAGACCGCTGTGTTGAGCGGCCCATGAGACCACACTGGCCTCCCGCAGCTGACTGCTGCGTTCCACCTTTCCTTTCGAAAGACGAGCGTAGATCGATGCCAGAAAATGTCCTGACAGGGCCCCCGGATGGCGGCTTGCGTACGCCAGCAACTCTCCCTTGCGCTTGAACTTCTCCGAGTCCACTGCATGCACCTTCTTGTAACTGACCTCGCGGTCCTTGCCTTTGGGCTTCCACAGCAAGGGCCCCGAAGAGCTCTGACTTGAGCTGCGGCTGGATGCACTGCTTCGTGATCGACTCGTGGACGAGCCGCTGGAACTGTCTTTCCTCTTCTTTTTCTTCTTCTTGTCCTTGGACTTCTTTCTGGATCGTTTCTTCTTGGACTTCTCTTTGCTCTGACCTTCTTTCTTCCTGGCCATGTCCTTGAGCTCCTGGATGACATCCGATAGGCTTTGCAAGTTGAAAGCTCCTCCATCTGCCTCTGGGGCCGGCACCGGCCCGAGCGCCCCGACAGCCCCTCGCGGCGCCGCTGCCGAAGCCCCGCCTGCGATGGGAGCGGCGGTGAATGGAATCAAGCTCATGCCCCTTCCTGGGATTGTGACCTGACCGTCTTGGACCCCAATTCTCTTCACATGCAAGCCCAAAACTGCCGCCTCTTGCTTCAACGCTGCTGCCTCTGCCACTGTTGGAGCCCAACGCTGATCCACATGTTCTGGCGAACATATCCAGTTGACTGTTGCTGGAGCAATACCCGGAGGTGCTGCCCGCTGTGCTCCTGCCCCCACTGGTGGGCGCAATGAGCCCGCTTCACAACGAATCAACGACCAGATCCAGTCAGAACCGTCCACGTTGGTGCTGCGTGCAATGAGCTCTCCAGAATCCGGTACTAGACCGGCCACCCAAATCTCGTCCCACTCCCCGCTGCGCTCTGAAAGAAAAAAGCCTTCCATGTACAGGTGTTGACAGGTTAGCCACAAGTGCTCTGTTTCTATGCCTGTTGATGGCTCTTCTTCTATTTCAGGGGTGTCCAAAAATTGTGCCTTTCGGTCAGTAACTTGGATCAAGCAACGGAACACACGCCACACAATAGAAACCAACGACCAGATCTCCGATCTTAGCTCAAAAATCACCAGCACACAAAGGAAATAGTAAACTCCTTCCCAAGTGGATTTGATGCAATGAACCAAAGGCTCCCAAAGTGCCGATCCAACACCCTCCAGAGATCCACCGACCGCAGCCTTCACGCCAGTCCTGATCCACAACCGGATCAAATGTCCGCCAAAAGCCGAGGTTGAAATGGCAACCAGGCTCCGTGTCACCGTGCTCATTGATGCTTGAGCCAAAATTAAAATTGAGATGCCGCTCGACGAGCCTCTACATGCGTCCAGAAAAAACTCTTGGTCATGCTTCCCAAATCTCAATATACCACCACAACCACGATCACGACAACGATAACGACAACCACCACCACTACCACAACCACAACCACAACAATGAACAACACCAACACCAACTACCACCATCACACAATTCATGCCATTCCTCTCTTAGAGGGTCCCCCATAAAGCCCCAAACAACTTCAATTCCAGGCGTCAGTTGCCCGCGCGGTGGGCGCACACCACGCACCGTCAGCGGCGTGGAGCGGCGGAAGTCTAAGCCCAATGGCTTGGCCTGTTGACTGTGTTTCGAAGCCCGTGAAACCAATCATGTGCTTGTGTTTCCCAGACTGAGCACCGCAAAACTGACTGGACATATATATATATATCTTCAGAGAGAAACATATGGATGACAGGGAATGGTTGGCCAAAGTTGCTTAGAATTCCTCACCTGGCACTTTAAACATGCGGAACCAAAGAACACATGCACTGGCATGCTCTGCCTATCCAAAGGGAATTGTTTGTGATAGAGCTGTGATCAAAGGAATTGGGTCTGTTCCGCCGTGCTGCAGCTCTCAGGATCCATCTTCAGCCAACCATGATGACGTCGTCAGCGGCCGACAATGGCCGAATCGGACAGCTGGGATGGTGAAGAACTCTTCTTCGGGTCCATATCCCCTCATTGACCTTCTTTCAAAACACAACATTGCACTTCCTCACAGGGCGATCATGTTTACCACATATAGACTTAAACCAGGAACATATGCCCAACTAAGAAGAAATACACTTCAAGCACAAGTCACTAGGATGCATCAACTAGGGAAGGTGCATCAACTAAGCGCAGTCAACAAATGAACTCTCTTCCATGCTTGGGCTGCATCACTCACTTGAAGGGTCCAATGTGGCCAAGGTCAATGCTTGACCCACCCAGTCCGTTCTGCCTTGAAGAGCACCTCTTTAGTGGAGCAGTCAGGCAGGAGAAAAGTGCAGCGCAAACCTTCTTCGCCCTCCTCGCAAGGCTCCTGGTCAGCAAGAACCATAAACTCTGAAGTTCAGTAGAAGTGCAAACTGGCTTCCGCAAAAAGTTTCACTGGATAAAGCCAGTATAAACTGTTCTTTTGGGAAAAGTGCAAAATCCAGTGAAGCCAGCCATGGAAAAAGAGAAACGCTTCCGTAACAGGAATGCCCGTCATAATGCAAAGAAGCTCGGAACCAAAGGGGACACTTTCTGCGTCTCTACTGGCTTCTAAATGCTCTGACCTACAGTATCTCCTTCGGGACGTTCGGATGGACCGTTGGATCTACGGTCGATACCCAGATCGTCACAGTCGATGGAATTCAGAAGTTCGACCTGCTCAACACCACCCTTCTGCCCCCAGAAAGATCTGTGGAGTCTTAAACTAACAACAAAAGACTTGAAAGAAGGGTGCCTCCGCAACTCAAACCAAAGGATGCAAAAGGCTGCAGGTCTTAAGTTCCGTCGACCTTGCCAAGGGCAATTCATGTGTTTGTTGAATTGGACCGATCGAAATGGACAGCAAGTGGACTAGACTAGACATTGGGTCTGTAGTAGTGTGTTCAAATGGGGGCGATCCTGTACTGTACGGTTCATGCAACCAAATCTTATATGACTTGCTGACAGTCGCGAACAATGCAATATATATAGGACTGCCCTTGTCACCAATATGATCAGTAAAGGAGATCTCACTGTCACTGGCGGTATACTGATATTCCCCAAATGAAAAATCTTGCAAGTATGGAACATGGCTTCTTGCAAAGAAATGCTCCACTTCCATTCTTGTTTCTTCCGTAGATTTCCAGAATGGTTTGGCACATGCAATATTGATGTAGAAATTTCATCTGACAAACAAAGTCACACCGTGCACAAACCTGGTCAAACTGCTTAGCAGTCCGCCCGCATCTCCGCATCAGTCTCGTTCGACTCCAACAACTCCAATTCTATTCCATGAGTGTTCTTCCAACAATAATCCAGGGGTCACATGTCAGGGCGCTTTTTGTTTAAAGTCCCATCCAGTGAGTGGATGTGACAGGGGCACCCTGACTTCCTCCCTTCATTCGGCACCCCAACATGGAAAACAAAACGGGTGTCATCTCTGCATTGGGCTCCGTTGGTACCATTCGGATTTCTTGTTTTTGTGTCTTCAAACACGCTGGCGCCTTCTCATAGGAGGAGACCTTTGGTACCTCCGCCAACTCCACCGGCTGCTCGTCCGAACAGGAGCAGCATGTGAACATGGCGTGAAAGGTACAGGAAACCACGCCGTTCACATCGCGTGCATTCAGCAGGAGTGGTGCAAGTGATTGATTGAGATATATTCACTTTGCTTTTGGGTTATAAGGTTGCTGACGTGATTGATGGATAGCTGCAAGCCAAGGTCCCTGACTGCACAAGATGTTGTGGGGATTTGGACTGCAAGAAGGATGCAACAAGGTAAAGGTGGCCCACAATTTTACTGTGCACACCTTGTGTGCGTTGGAATGTTCTGTTGCGATGATCTCCTGGGGTGGATAGTTCAGTGTTTGAAAGTAAGCAAGTGCAGCTAGGTCCTTCTGCTGGGAGATGGTGCATTCGACTTTTGACTTCAATCTGTCAAGTGGATTGTTATTCTTGAAGCATGGCCCAAGATGCAAACGATGAGCTACATCAAATTGATTCAAATTGCTTTACAGGATCTTGGTGACCGTGAATATGGTTCATCCCGGTGATGGATGCTTGGTGGGATCATGACCATGATCTTTCCTTGGATTCTGAAGGAATCATTGCAGAGCATTCAAAACGAAGGTAGGTTGCTAACAGGTACTCAGCATGCTGAGGAGACCTATTGGTCACCCTTCCACATCACCAGAACCTCTCCTAAGGTCAAGGGAACGCCTGGTCAGCTGGAGAAGATCATGCTGCGGGGCCGCGTAGCCAAGCTTTTAACAACGCTCATGGCTCTGATGAGGTCGCGGATTCTGCAAAGAGCGGATGAGGTCGCTGACTGCACACGCGTCATGAGAAGCGGAGAGAATGCACGTCCCAAACATCCCGAGATCTCCCATGTGGTTGACTTGGAGTCTTTCTGAATTGGTTACACTCTGACTCACATGGAAGTGGATGACATGGCCCCGGGAAGACCAGCTCTACGAACAGAGGGTGTCATCCACGTCCGTGAACGTGAGTGGGAGTGGGACACTCCGACTCACGTGCCATGGTTACGTGGAAAGCTCCTCTGTTCGTAAACTGAAGTTTTCCAAGGGACCATTTTCCACCTCCATGTTACTGAGTCAGAGTGTATCTGAAAAGGATTTCCTTGAAGTCTTGCGGGATTCCAAGCTGAACGACCTTCGACTTCATCTACCTTCCCCTGTGCTGCCGAAGGTAGCATGCATCCAGGGCGGTGGGTGCCACAACCTGTGAAAACTACAGCAACAACTGTGCAAGTTGAATCCCAGAATTGTCTTAGACAATGGACAGGAAACCATGGTGTTGACCCCCAAAAGTATAGGTTTCCTCTAAAATACGCCTTTAAACTTATTCTAGGATTGAATGTATCTGCATGTATTGAATTTCCACCTCCCTCCCGCCAACCCACAGCTAGCCGAGCTCCATCAGGATGCGTCTGTTTCATGTTCTTCCCAGGTGAAACTTTGGGTATGCCCAGCTGGCCACTTTCGCCGCAGGGTCCACCTTGACTAAGCTACTGTACAGCCGCACGTGTTGACGAGTGACGAGACGTGCCAACGACTGCCAGAACGGATCGAAACGACACAGGCGAGTGGGAAGCAAGTGGTAAAAGAATGTAAATGGGATCCGCAGAAGCGCTTTGACAATCATGTCAGTCTCCAGTGCCAAACATGAACTAAGCATAAGAAAGTATAGCAAACAAACATTATAATAGGACATTTATATATAATAGGAAACCAACATCATGGAACATAGTGGGTGAGGGAAATAAGAACAGCGTCAAGAAGTATTCGACAGGGATCAAATAGAAAAGTGAGATCCAGTGAGCACTGAAAGGGAACGCAGGTTAGGGAAAGGACGACAGCAGCAGGGCCGGCGACAAGAGGACCATGAAAGGATGCTTGCAACACATAATTAGAAGCTTAGGCGAGGGCGTGCATTTTTTGGTGTGGATATGCAACGGGTGACATTTAAAATGTCAGTGATTTCGTGGCAGCGGGGTTGCAAACTACAAAAGCCACCAAACGCTGAAGGCTCCCGTCATCGAAAACTGCACACCCTATTGCCCCATCAATGACGGCCTCAGCTAAAACACAGAACAATGAAAGGATGCTTGCAGCCACGTGCAACACAAAATCAGAAAGACTTAGGCGAGTGTGCAATAATGTTGTGTCAGCGATGGGTGCCTGGGTGACCTTTTAGAAAATCTGTCGTGGTAGGCCCAGCATATTGGCAGGTGCTGGATGGGGGGTTGGGGGGGAGGGCAAACATCAAAAGCCATTAGACTCAAAAGGCACCACAAAATAGATCACCATCGATTTCGCTACACACCCCATTGCCTCATCAACGAAGGGCACTCAGAAAGTGACGCAAGGACCAAGGCAACCGGGTAGCGCTTTGTTTTCACAAACCTCGTGTTTTTGACCATGGACCACGAGGCCAGCGGACGAGGACAAGGACCAGGAAAGGGACTAGGGGACCAAAGGACCAAGGACCTACTCAGGAATATTATTGTTGATCCTGTTCATATCCTGTTCTTATTTTGTTCATGGATACTGTCTTTTTGTTGATTCTGTTGTTTGATTTTTGATCTAGATGCCAAAACAAATAGAATAAAAAACATGTCATTCATGAATTCTTAGTAATTCTTAATGGACATGCCATGAACCAAAAAACACTTCGTCTGAGTAAGGCTTCCTTTATTCTCTGACACCACGGCCGAAACCATCTAAGACTAAGACCCTTTCATTCACTTCAGATAATCCCTCGGAGTCAAAAATCCATTTGAACAACAAAGGTCTTTAGATGATACAAAAATGATACAAACATGCATTTCCTTTAGTTTGGGTGCCAAACATAGGCCCCTTGGGACAGTAAACCTTGGGGATGGTAAAGAACAAAATAACGATATTGCTTCCCATCGTCTGTCTCGTCAGGCTCCATACGAGAAAACACCCAGAACAATCAGCACACACCTCCGGGTCCAGTGGTTTCTCGCCCGAAGGTGTGGGACAAAAGGCACGAAACCAAGGGAGAACGCCTCCTCCGCTCTCCGCCCAGGACCGCGGAGTCGGGCCACGGACGCTCGACACCATCCGCGGCCCCTTCAACTGATCTTCGTCACCCGGCGGCCCTTGGGAAGTACCTCCTCAGGCTCAGAAAAGTTGGGCAAGCTCCTTAAGGCTCCGGACTCAAGAACCCAGGTGTTTGGACCGGCGCAGAGTGCGCCGCGGGTGAGAGGAGCGGATTGAGGAGGATCGGATGATGATGAGGTGTTTGTTTGAACAGCTGCTTAAAGTTGGATCTCCAACGAGCAGGACCAAGACTGTTCGTGACCTCTTTGTCTCTGTCAGCCTGCTGTGTTCTGGGACGAACCTCGTGACCTCATGGATGGGATCTGAAAAAAAGGTCACTTTTGAAGGTACATCAAAAGGTACCTCATATTCTTCTGAAGACGTACCTCATGTACCTCCAATAGATGGACCCCTCAAAACTTCATCAAACTTCATCGACCAATAGGTTCAATAGAGAGCCGCCCTGCAGGCCCGCTCTCATGATCCCGGCATCTACAGGATCCCCTATACACTCTAGTAGTCTAGGAATGTAAGTTAAGTTAGGACATACCCCTTGGAAATCCAGGTTCTTCCCTAGCATGTAAATCTAAAGGACCACAGCTGAACGAATGTTGGCGCGAGCTTATACATTCTAAGCGAGACGCGGTTCATCATCATATTCCCTCCGTCTCCCAGAATTTCGACTGGAAACTGAACCAGGAGACCCGGTAGATGTTTGGCCCCTACTTGGGGCTGTACCACAAATACCCCTAACCTACCACCAATTGGAACCCCTGAAACAGGTCTCCTGGAAAGATATGTTCCATAGTAAACAGACTCAACAGAATTCGCTTACCCACCAGCAAAGAACGGTACACCGGATGGAGACTCCAACATCAAATTCCAGACCGGTGCAGAAGCCATTGGGACGAGACGATCTCCAGGCACAGGTCATGACGTGTCAGCCATGACTCTCAATGGCGGCTTTCACCTTGCTCAGGGAGTCCTTCCTGAGGCGAGAAGGAGAAAGTCTCAGATCCGATCTGGGACTGGTTCAGCTTCTATGATGTACATGATACTTGTCTGCGGAGACGTATGAGATTGTATACAGTCTATTTTACTGTTCTATCACTTGGGGTCATCGGTTTCTCTTTGTTCTGGTGTTTCTGCGGAACGCCGCAGAAAGAAGGGTCCTCTTTATCGTTCAACAGCCTGGCCAGTACGGCCGTGGCGTCCGTCGCCTCACAAAATGATCTCAAAACATGGAGTAGTTGCGAGTGATAAGGGTCTTTATTCTATCCCTCCCAAACACTCCATGGACTGGTATATGCCTACAGTGACCCCGGGTCAACCACCCCAATGCACTGCTAGTCTGGCACTAGCCCTAGAGCTAGTCCCATCTAGTGACTAGTGAGTGGATGTGACAGGGGCACCTGGTCACGGTGTCATCGTTCGTCTGGCCCTGCCGGCCCCGCGGGGTCGGCGGACGCGAGGACGAGCGGAGCAACGCCTCGCCGGACGAGCGTCAGATTCCGGGGCATTGCCTCGCCGTGGATGGAGACTAAAGCCCAGTCCTCCTCCACCTGCACGACGAAGCGACGGCATCACGTCGGCATCGCTGGGGGTCGGGTCCGGGTAGAGGAGAGAGAGAGAGAGAGGGAGGGAGAGAGAGAGAGAGAGACGACGTTCGTGCCTTTTGGGGTTGGGGACCTCTGATGAAGGTGATTGAGGTTGGTGTGTAGTGTGTGTTGGCCTGAAAAAAGTTTCAAATTTGAAGATACTATAAGAAAATATAAGAAACACATTCGAACAATTGATGGGGATTTCTTCGACTGGTCGACCCGCTGTCTTTTTGAGCTGCCGACCAAAGAGATGGGTGGGCCGTCATTCGCTGAGGGTGCAATTCTGCGGGTTAAAATCATGGCGGACAAACACGGCGTCGGCTTAGAAGTACCTCGAGTTGAGAGCGTTGATATCTGAGCCACCAGAAAAAGCCTCCGGCACCTAATTATATTGGTTCATCCAAGGAAAATACATGTGTCATAAACCCTTCTGGTGAGCTTCAACACTG